CCCCCCCCCCCCCCCCCCCCTTCCCCTTCCCTGCTTTTTTTTTATACTTACACTCCTTCAGACACCACGGGAATCCTCCCTACACTCCATCCAGAATCCCTACTCTCAGTCTAACTTCATTAGTGCTGAGATGGAATCTATTTTCCCATCTTGTGAAACTTCTTGTAATTTCGAAATATTTCCCTTTGTGCATCCAGATAAAAGGGAGACCACTCAACGTTTTCACAACAACCCAGCAAGAGAGGCCCATCTTTCCCAGAGTAGTCACTATCAGTCTAGTCAGCACATTCAACTGCATCAGACAGAGCAGGGACCTGATGGGTGAGGTAATAGCTTTTATTGGACCAGAGAGAGACAAGCTTTCAGTCTACAGAGAGCTCTTCTTCAGGGACTTGAATGTGAGTTTCCCACATCCCAGGTGAGTGCGCTGACCACCAGGCTATTCTGATGTCTGGTTTTGACCAGAAATTCCATCCTGCACCTAAGAAACATTTCCTAATGAAAGTTTCTTCTAAACCAACATGTTCTCACAAAATTTCAGTTTTGACACATTGGCATTTTCTGATGAAAAACCTGTTTTGTTTTAAAATTCCCAATCAGCTCTTAACTTCCTGTCCCCTCCAACTCCCTCTCCAAACTACCATCTTGTCTAATTTCCCCCAGGCAGATGTCCGCCAGGCAAATTCAATACTTAAGTCTATTAAGGCCTAAAATAAATGTGTATAAACAGTAAAAATTTGCATATGGTACTTGTGATGCAGCAGGAAAGTGATAGATGGGAGGTATATAAGCCCCAGGATGATCAGAGCCTTATTCCCTGTGCGCTGAGGAGAAGTTACTACAGGTTAATTAGAGCACCTGGAGCCAATTAAGGCCTTGCCAGAGACCTAATAAAAAAATCCTGCTTCAGTCAGATGGCAGGAGGAAAGGAGAGCTGACTGTAGTTTGGAGGAGTACTATTGTTGACCAGAGTACCAGGGGAAGGGAAACCTGCTTAAGCAGAGCAGAGGGACTCCCCAGGCGCAGAGGACGAGAGAAACACTGCCCAAGGGGAGAGAGGGCAGGAAGCCCAAGAATAGGGGCAAGAGGCAGCAACCTGACCCATCACATGAAAGAAAAGCATGGGATCCACCATAAAAGCGTTGGCCATTTGTCACATACGTCAAACATCAATTTTTTTCAGAAGATGGTACATGAACCTATGAAGTTCTGAATTGTTCATGTATATGATTGTTTTCAAGGGCCATTTTATAGGTATTAGTCATAGAATCATGGGACTGGAAGGGACCTCAAGAGGTCATCTAGTCCAGTCTCCTGCATTCATGGCAGGACTAAGTATTATTTAGACCATCCCTGACAGGTGTTTGTCTAACCTGCTCTTAAAAATCTCCAATGATGGAGACTCCGCAACCTCCCTGGGCAATTTATTCCAGTGGTTAACCACTCTGACAGGAAGTTTTCCTTAATATCCAACCTGAACCTCTCTTACTTCAATTTAAGCCCATTGCTTCTTGTCCTATCCTCCGAGGTTAACAAGAACAATTTTTCTCCCTTCAACAACATGTATTATCATAAACAATTCTGGAGAAT